GATATAGACTTTTCTGGAGGTTATTTGGAAATAAACAGTAAAAGTCTTTAAAAAAAAATACAGTAAACATTTTTTATACCCTTTGACCAAGGGTGGTCAATGGATTCTTATTCTCAATTCTTCATAATCTTTATGTATTAAAAGTATACATCCACACTTTTGTCATGTAATTTTGTAAGGCTTGGCCACATGATTTGTTTTGGCTAATGAGATGTTAACAGACTTGATGCCAGCAGAGGCTTAAAATGTGTTTTGGCAGTTTGGCCTGTTTCCTGCATTCCGGTTATAAACCATGAAATGAGTATGCCCCAGCTAGCTGCTGCCCCTTCTTGCTAGGCCTCAGAATGAACACATTTAGAGTGGATCTAACCCAACCTGCAGCCTAAAGGCAGGCCAGCCAACCCACAAGCTGAAGTAGATGTGCCTAACCAAGCCAAGCCTAGATAGAGCAGAACTCCAGGTGATCTATGTGTGAAAATAAACGATGTTATAAGCCACTCAACAAAACACTGGTTTGTTATACAGAACTGTTATGGAAATACTTGACTAATACAGTTATCTCACACTCAACAATTTATCCTAAGGCAATCTGAAAGAAACATTCACATAACAAGGATGTTTATAATATTTATAATAGTAAAAAACTGGAAACATCTATCATCAACTAACAGAGAAACAGTTAAATAAATTATGATCTAGCCAGACCATTAATTATATGAAGCTATTAAAAATCATGTTTTCAAAGCACACTCGAAAATGTAAGATGTTCATAATACTTTAAATTTAAAAAGCATAAACACAAGATACACTGTTTTTAAAATTTTTTTCTACAAGCAGAGAGAAAATATCAGCTGGGTAAATTAATTAATTTAAGAAATACAAATGCTTTTCTGTGCTTAATATCATACTAAGAACTATACTTAAAGAAGTAAATAAGACAAACATGTTCCCTGACTTCCTAAAGCTAACAGTTTAGGGAGGAAGAGAGATATTTTTTTTTAAAAAAAATCACATATATATAAAATTATAAATTATAAGAAGTTATTGTAGCACAAACTACTAATTATCCCCAATATTTACTCCTCCTTCTTTCTCAGCACCAAAGTCCCTGGGTTTTACCTGCCCATGGCCACCTGGAACAGACTACACTTCTCAGACGTCCTTGCTTCTAGTTGACCACGTTCTGACCAATGGGATCTAGTTGGAAGTGGTGCACACAACTTCAAGTACACATCCTTAAAAACGAAGGGCTTGCTCTTTGATGCTTTTCCCCCTTCTGACCAGATGGAGCAGCTATTTTGGACTATGATGTGGAAGCTTCATGCTGAGAATGGCAGGGCAACAAAACAGGAGGAGCCTGGGTTCCCTAATACCGTGGAACCACTATCACCAGTCCTCATCCACCTCAAGAGCTTTTACATGAGAAATAAAATTCTACCTTGCTTAAGCCATTTTCATTTTGAGTTTTTAGTCATTCAGAGCTGAACCTAATCCTAAACAGCACAGCTATGAAGGAAAAATGAAAAGTTCAATGAGAGGTTATAATAGAAACAGCTGATTTTGAGAAGGCAGGGGTTTCAGGGATAGGCCCTCTGAGAAAGTAACATTTCGGCTGCAACTTGGTGCCTGGCCAGGTGAAGGGTGGTGGGATGGCAAACAGTTCAAGGCAGAGGAGATCAAAGATGCAACTACTAAGCCTGACTCACCACAAGGACAAGCCACAAACTTCGGGATGTTAAGGTTGCTTCTACAATGAATAGAATGAACGCAGAGCATGAAAGCAACCAAGTATGCTGGCTCCAATATCAGAATCTCTACTTTGACAAGCAACAGACCACATACGCATATCAAAAATAAGGAGGGAAGGGTGCAGAAGGAGAATGAACCATGTTAAAGAAATTAATCATTGCTTCCACACTTCAGTTATTATTTAAAACAGTTTAGTTGGATTCTCTAATTAGAGTGGTTCATAAACCACGAGGTGAATATCATTATATTTTTAAATGCTAACTATCCCTGAAACAGACTAGAGTTTGGTGTTAAAATTTTTTTTAAATAATGTTTCTTGTCTATTTCTGATTATAAAAAGGAAACATTTATTGTGGAGAACTTTGCAAATATACATGAGTATAAGGAAAAAATAAACTATCTATAAATTCATCACCTTCCAACATTTTATACCAACACTGTTTTTATACATATTTACATACCTATATACATATATACCTACAACATACTCAATGGGATTGTAATGCATATTAAGTTGTATGTGCTTTTTCACTTAATTTATCATGAGCACATTCCTATGTCATTAAAACATTTTTGAAATCCTAATTTTTAATGGCCACATAACATATAATTTCTTTAGCCAGTTAAATCTTGGGATTTTCTGAGTTAAGAACTGTCAACCTGACCCTGTGGATCGAAGACATGACTTCAAAATCTGCCATGGAAAATTTTTATTCAGAAACCTCAAGTTATAGTTTGAAAGCACTGGAACCTTCTAATAAAGAATTCAATGAAATTTACTGAATTTTAGCCGTGAAGGATGCTAACTAAAGACCTTATTTTCCCAGAGTGTACCATTTCATAATTAGTCTTGAGGAAAAAATTGAATAAGTATCAAAGACTGAGTTATCGGTAACAAATAAGAACTAATAAGTGCTTAATGTAAGAATGACTATCTGCAATATTTTTTTAATAAAGCAAAGAGAATGTATGCATCTATTGTATAAAGTTTTCAAATGAATATAGAAAAATGCATGAATGAAAAGAAAAAAAACAATGACAAAGGGTTAATCATTAATTCTAGAACATGGCATCCTTTGAACTACTCTATTTAAAATTTTTCTTATAACCAAAAAATTAATGTTAAATTAAAATATCAGTCATGTGAATAAGGCAATTCAGATTTTAGTTATTAAATTAGAAGGAAAATCATTAAGTTTGTACTGAAGTTAAGTGGATCTTGTATATAAAAAAACAAAAAGTTGGTTATTTAGCATTAGGAGTTTGTTCTAAAATGATACTATTTTAAACAAAATATCAATGTTTCAGGTTGGAAATAAGTCTGAGGTAGGACCAGCTTTTGAACTTTATAGCTGTGTTTCCTTCAAGTACCATCCTTCCTAAAAATGATGCATTTTCTGTTCTATTGGAAAGGTTGTTTTAACAGTTAAGTAAATATTTTTTAAATAGCAAGACTGCCTTTCAGTTCCCGACTCTAGTTCTCTTTATTGATATTAAACCCATTTTAAAAATTCTAGTTTATAAAATTCAACCTTAGTTCAGATGACAGAGTTTGCCACTTGATGAAATGTCTTACTGAATATATAATGTTGTAATTTTTTATTAAGTGAAGTCCCTAGTAGGAACAAATTAAAGAATAAAAAGTTACAGAAACAAACCAAAGCTTTACATCAGTGCTCACAAACAAAAATTTCAAAGAATTGTAAATTGCTTTTAATTACCCCATTTTCCTCAAATGTAGCCTTAGGTTGTCTTAACTTTGTGACAGCATCTCCTACCCCCTACTCCACTGATCAGTTCTCACCTTCTTTCTCTGCTAGAACACGTGAATTTTTCAGCAAAAGTGACTCATCCATTGGCATCTTGTCAAACTAACCCTGAAACTACAAGGAGGCTCAGCGGTAACAGAATTCTAAAGCTAGACCACTTTCACTAACACACATTTTGACTTCAGAGAACTGAATCACTATCAGAGCCAAGTACAAAAACTCTGTTTATATTTTTCCTTAAAAACTGTTCTCCACCATGCCACCTCCTCCCAAGGAGGAGTTTAATTTGGCAAGTCCCTAATCTAAAACACCTCCTGTCTCTGGAGAAGACAAGATGGGGGAATGTAGAAGCATAAGAACACGAAGAGGGAGAAAAAAAGCAGTTGTTCACTCAGCTTGGAAAAAGACTCTATTCGGAAACATTAACAACTCATACCTATTCCATATAATTCTCAAAATTGATTTATCCCCTTAGTTAAATGAAAACACAATATAAAAAACAATAAAAAATCTCCAGGAACAAATTACTCTCATTGATAGTATTTCACTAAACAAAAGTTTAAAAAGCAACATAGAAATCAATTACTGAGAACTATTTAGTTGAAAATCTTCAATGAGATATCACCAGCATTAACTATCAATTGCAAATCAGCTAATCATTTTGGTTCACAAATTCATTTTGGTTCACAAAATCAGCTAATCATTTTGGTACACAGGTTACCTATTCCAAGAGAGAAAATCACTCCTTTTAACCAGAGGAAAAGTGGTGGAAGAAACAAGAAAACAAATGATTTGTCAGATTACCATAGACATTTACTTATAGCACTATCAACTGTCACACTCCACCTGGTGGCAGGAGCTGCCTGAATTGGTGAAGTGGAGGTCATTATACAAAAAATTTCAAAATTGCCAGATGTCTTTGAAAAAAAGCAAGATGCTCTTCTTTTGCCCTATATAAAATAAATCTAACAAGGTTCAACCAAAGTTTTTTCATAGTAGTAGGTCAATATCTAATAAAGATTAACTTAAAGGTGTAACAATAATCAAAATGAGAGACCTACATTCAGAGCAATCTATTTACAACCATTCTCTCCACATAAGTTAAATGTCATCTCAAGCCTTTAAAACAGGTAACAAGGCACATCCAGCAGCTACAAGAGTCTCTATCACATATTCCCACTAACTTTCTTTACCTCTTTCCGCTATGGGTAAACTATTAAATTTAATTAACACAATTAACAGCAGCTTGCCACACTGCCTTTAGGTATTTGTCAGTAACATATACCCATGGGATACTCTAGGGACTGATTTCAACCAAAAATAAAAATAGATAAACAGAGCTCAAATAAAATTAAAACTGAGTCTGACTGCCCACACTTATTTTCACACATGAGGAAAAATAGCAGTTCTCCTAGAAGCCTCAAGCAGACATATCTTTAGAACACAATGTTAAAAATATGCACCCCCCCCTTTTTCCCCTACCTGTTTCTCACTCAAAGCTGTGATTTTGGCTTGGAGTTCATGAAGCTGTTTCTTTAAATCAGCATTCTGATTGGAAAGAAAAAATATCTGTGAGAAAGATATTTCATTTGTTAACAGAATAGTAGCAAGAAGACTTTATGCATACTGTATTACAAATGAAGCAACTTTAAGCATTTAGCCAATCAAATTTGCCATGCATTAAACTGTAGTCATATTATAACTACCTAATACCTATATCCTAAAAGTAGGCTCCTAACACTAGAGCAAGGGCAGCTCTTTTGCAATTGTCTTAAATTATAAGAACTTTTATATTTTAGCATCTAGAATTGTAATAGTACTCCTTTCTACTAAAAATACTGTTATTCTTTATAGACAATATCAGTTCACAGAAAACCTAAACCTCCACTAAGACAAAACCAAGAAAATGGAAGTCATAAATATGCATATACTGCATGCTTAACGGAGTTATCAATAAAGAGGTTTTTCTCTACTTGCCCTATCCCTTATTTAGTAGAGTACATTTGTTATTTTAGCCTAGATTTGAAAAGCTGTCAGTGCTGCAACTGCCTCAACACTACATCATTCAAATTAACACACTGACTACCAGGGTATTTTCTCAGTTCTCAAATTCTAGGAATCAAAAAAGAATACTATTTAAGATGAGATACACTGAGTATGCTTGCGTTTTATTCAAGTGGGAAAAAAATCCAAAATTAAAGTTTTCAAATGCTCAGTATAGCAGAATAGCCTACTAGCTGACTGAGCACCACCCCAGTGAGATACCACTTTTTCTACATCATTTCACATGCCACTCTTCCAATTTGCCCCACCTGGTCTTCTGGCAGGGTTGGGGCACACATCTTCCTTCCCATGTTTACTCCATGTGGTCTTTTTTATAAGTGTATTTGATATAAGGCCTTTCAGATGAAATCACCCACTAGATTGTCTAACAATTTACTGCGCCCTCAGATTTTTCACATTAAGACTGCTCTGTTACATGACCAACAGCTTATCAGAGATACTAAAGTTTTCTAATATTTCAGTTGCTGATAACACAGGTTACCATATTGAATAGAAAAGAATGTATTAATCTTAGGTCTACCACCTTTTGGTTTCCTAAATCTAATTCAAATAATATATTTTAAAAATAAAAACTGAGAAGCTTCTCAAAGAAGTTGGAATGTCAGGTGGGAATTAACTGTGGGCAATCAATGCCAGCTCTCCGAATTAACGGATTGTGTTAAAGCACAATAGGCCACTGGGCGCTAAATTTGTAAAAAAAAATATTATTCCTACTTATAAAGTCAATCTCTTCAGTAGCATTCCTCAATCCAAGAATTTATTTTACTTATATTTACAATGAGACATGTATTGTATGTTTAACAAGCTAAATATATATATACATATATGAGTACAAATCAGTGGGTTTAGGTGTTCTGTGAACAGTTTATAAGTAAACAAATGCAAGGGAGAAATCCTGACAGAGTCTGATAAATACTCTCCATACTTATGACCCACTGTCTAATGGCTACAAGAGACACTGCCTGAACAATAAATATAATCATCAAAGACGAGATAACTTTTTAGGAAGATTTCTCTTCAGAGATAGAGAATAAAATGCCTAAATCAAAAACTCCTCTGAGAATTCAAAGAAAAAGTAACATTTGGTGGATTATTATATAAAGTACTTTTTTACACTCTCTTTAAGGGATTTTTCAAAGATAAAAAATTTTTAAATGCTTTTGAAAAATTATTTTAAAATTTTTATCCTGAACGTAGTGAGATTAAGTATTTAAATGTTCTGTACTATATTTGTACTATAAACTACAACAAAAAAAAAAACAAGAATGGTTCTGGGCCATATTCAATAATTTTGAGACTATAGAAAGCCTCACAAACTCTGATTTTGAATAAGTGGGCTTATGGAAATGAAATTTAAGCTATATGAAGAGTATTAACTCTCAATTTTTTTCCCTGACGTATTCAAAGCAATTAACATAAAAGCAAATAACAGTAACAAAGATAAAATGATAGCTTTATTATAACAGATGACTGAATTTTTATAAACCCTTAAATCATGATGACTGATATGCTAATATAATTGCTGCTAGAGATGAGATAGTTTTAAAAACTTAAGTATTGGTCTATATTTTAGTATTTTATGGTCACTTTATTTTAATTTAAAAATTACATGAATAAAAGTATTTTACCTGTGGATCCTGTTTCATTTGAGCAACCAATTTCTGGCAATAAAGAGAGAAAAAGAGCCATCAGTCTTACATATTAACTCACTATGGCTAATCAGGTTTGGTCCCCAAAATCTACAAGTTTTACGTCCACACGCAAAAAAAAAAAAAAAGAAAAAAAAAGAAAAAAGAGCAATGCCACAATCAGAACAGACCAAAGCTTTCTGTGATCTATATAAAAGGTTGATGAGACATTCCTCTTAATATAAAAAAAGCCAAACAACCACTTTATACTTGAAATAAAAAGCTCCTGCTTTTTAGAAAATCTAGACATGGGTTTTCACAAGGCAATTTAAACATGTTAGATGCTCCAAAAGCCAAGTTGTCACTGTCTGGAGTCCCAGATGAGGCCCAGAAAGAGGCTGCTCCCATACAAAACAGGCCTGTCTGTATACAGCAAAGTGCAGATTTCACAAGTCTATTGGTTTGGTTCTTACCACAGAAAGAGCTTAATATCAGAGTGACTTTGCCACTGTCTTCTCTGTGGGTGGGGCGGGAGGTGGCGGTGGGGGAGGATGAACTCAGTGGAGCAGTGATGCTCAGTATTTGAGAATAAGGAAGTAAAAGAACAATGAAGTGAAACTCTACCTACCTGGGCTCTTCTGGGAAGGAGAGTGCTACCAGAATACTAAATGAGAAAGACCTTTTACTAAGGAAAACAGATTCAAATAAAAGAAAAACAAAGAAAAGCGGATGTTGTTTGATCTCACCCAACTTCTAAAAGCATCACTTCCCAAAGGTAACAATAACAAGGGACAGAAGAATCTGAAGGATGAATAAATATCAGAAGGCTGATTCCTAAAAGTATCTGGGAATAAGCTGCTCCCCAAGTGTGTTTTCCATATAAGTGACAACCTATCCCTCTCTTTGGGTAACAAGGTGGTTTTAAATTTTCTAGTCATAAAATAAAATCTTTTTAAAATATATTATATACTTATCAGCCTTCTTCAATAAAAAGTCAGCTTTTATTGATACCTAGAGCCAAGATTACATCAACATACTATTCTACAAACAATACAATAATAAGGTCCTTATAATAAAGGCCCCAAACTGCTATTTTAAAGAATTCTTGTGTTTGCATTTTAGTTCTTCAGTCCACATCTTAATGTCAATCAGCCAGCTAGCAAATCTTGCTACTAATATTATGCCTCCCTCTAACAGCCCCGGACCCCAACTCAAATTTGCTGATTCTGATCTGCTGTGTGATACGCTCAGTGAACTAATTCTAAGATGAGCAAATAGGTAGTAATAATCTAAGAAATCTCCCTTGAATAAAATGTATAATTTTTCATAAGTGGTTTCTAACATTTATTCTGGTTGGTCGAAAGCCTTACTTTAGGTGCTAAGCTATATTCTAGGTAGCTGAGGTTTCCAACTATGTGACCTCCGAATACACAAGGCATATGTAACTATACTTCACATGTGACAGTAGAAACTCTTGTATAGCCTGGTCTTAATCTACAAAATAGTAATAACACACATTCCAAGAGCTCAGTGAAACTGAAAAACAAGGTTTTATACATATACATTTTTACTAATGTACACTAAAGGCTAGCCACACTGTTCAATGAAAAAAACCTTTGGTTTGCCTTTTTGATTTGGTTACCCAGAAAGTTGGTTGCTATACTAAAGTTGTCTTTTTAAAGCTGAAAAAGGTTTTCTTCCATGACACTGAAATTGAAAAACTGGTAACCACATTAAGTCTCCACCTCTAGAGGAAATAAATAAACCAACTTTTCTATCTATAAGAAGTCAAGCTGCATTTTACATGACCAGAGGCAGGACTGAACACTCTGGACAACTTAACTAGACCATCCAAATTCCTAGCGACTTTAAACTGACATTGTGTTACTAAACTTAGGTTACTTTCTATTGCAATACAGCAATTTTACTTTCTATTGCAAGAATACAGCAATTTTTCTTGAGAATATATTTTACGCGAAGGGTCGGAAAACTACAGCCCACTGGCAAATCTGACCATCCACCTGTTTTTGTAAATGAAGTTTTACTGGGACACAGCCACACCCATTTGTTTATAATATCTATGGCTGCTTTGTCTATATAGCAGCAGAGCAGAGTAGTTGTGACAGAGACTATAAATGACTCACAAAGTATAAAACACTTTACCTGGCCCTACACAGAAAATATTTGCTAACCTTTGCTTTATTATACTCTTCTGTTCCGTGTAAATACTTTTAAAGTTTAAATATGGCTTCCATCGAATCTGCCTAAGAATCATCAAAAAAGCAATTTCTCACAAAAGATGAGATGCCCATCACAGGCCATTATTATTTAAACATTTATTCGACATCAACTATGTGTACATCGCTACTTTCTTAACCATCTCCCTGTCCATAAAGAACAGAAATATACTTCTACCACAGCAATCCCAGGTAGTTTCATAACACACTTTGCAGCCCGATCTCAGCCCTAACTTCCTTCCCTAACTGGAAATGCCCCAGCCTGACAGCCAGAGCCTACTTTTGTCATTTCTAGCATCCCTTGAACTTGTCAAGATCAGTAATCATGTAGGTTACCACAAATCCAATCAGAATAACAACATGAGATTTACAAACAAGGCATGTCACTTGGATTTACTATTAATACCTAAATTTTTTTCAAAAATAGAAAAGTACTCTAAATGTAACTGGAATAAAAAAATCTTATATACATTATATTTTAAAATATTATCAATAAACATATAAATGTTTATTACTGCAAAAGCAAAATATATAATAATTAAAGATGAATATAAAATCTATTACTGGTATGCTTAAATCCAGTTAAATATATACGGAAAGAGAGTTAATGTGAATATTAAGAATGTTTGGGATTAACTTTAGAAAAAATATTAGATCCCTTTTGAGTCAACAAATATAATTAAAAAATGTAAATCAGATTTTAAAACAATAAACATTAAATTTTTTCATAACTAATTCTCATAAAATTTGGTATGCTTAAATTAAAATATGAAACAAAATAACATTTAAGAACTCTGTGTGATTTTTAGTAATTCAGTAGGTCATAAGTCTTTCAAGAAAGTCTTACCAGGATTTGTTCACATCTTGTGAGGATGAACTACAAGTAGAATGTCAATTCTGCCATCTTAAAATTTCCTGAGAGGAGTATCTCCAAAATCATATACAACTTCATTAAATTATCTCTAGACTGTTCTCTAGAAATTCATTCTAAGATGATGTCAGCTTTGAACAAATAGTAAACAAACTGTCATCATTTGCCATTTCACCAAATTGGGTACTCTATGTTAAAATATTTTTGTCTGGCACAGACTGAAAGTAAAGGTATGGAAAAAGATATTTCATGAAAATGAAAATTAAAAAAAAAAAAAGCTGAGGTAGCAATATTTAAACTAGACAAAATGACTTTAAAACAAAGGTTATAATAAGAGACAAAGAAAGACCCAGTAATCCCACTTTTGCGTATTTATCCAAAGAAACCCAAAGCATTACTTCAAAGGGACATGTGCATCCATATGTTCATTGCAGCATTATTTATAATAGCCAAGATATAGAGGCAACCTGGGTGTTCATCAATGGATGAATGAATAAAGAAGAGGTGGTACATTTACACAATGGAATATTACTCAATCATTAAAAAAAATGAATGAAATCTTGCTATTGTCAATAACAGGGATGGACCTAGAGGGTATTGTGCTTAGTGGAATAAGTCAGAGAAAGAAAAATTCTGACTTATATGTGATTTCACTTATATGTGGAATCTAAAGAGCAAACTAAATGGACAAACAAAACAGAAACAAACTCATAGATACAGAAAACAAATTGATGGTTGCCAAATGGGAAGCGGGTTGAGGAGCTGGGTGAAAAAATGGAGAGGAAAGGATTAAAAAGTACAAATGGATATTTACAAAATAGTCACGGGGATGTAAAGTACAGCATAGGGAATACAGTCAATAAGGTTGTAATAACTATATGGTATCAGTTGGGTACTGGATTTATCCGGGTGATCACTTTGTAAGTCATTTAAATTTAATCTCTATGTTGTACACGTGAAACTAATATAATATTGTATGTCAACTGTAACTGAAAATAAAAAAGAAATTTTAAATAAAAAATAAAATATAGATTCAAATGAAAAAAGAAAAAAACTTTCATTCGGGAAAAAGACAAGCTTGTTTTTGTAAACAGATTTTATTCTCAATTAATATCAGAAGCAAGGCCAAATAAAATGTGCTTACTTTATTATACACTAAATTTAAATACATAAAATATAATAAATTTCTTAAAGTTACCATTAACACAACACACTTTACATAGAGAAGTCTGCCTATACATGGCAAACTATAAGACTACTGAGGAGCAAAAGTTTAACAAGATCCAAAGCAGCAGCAGGGATTTCTGAACATAGAAACTTAATGTAAAATGTATGTGTGTGTGTATATCTATACATACGTATATAGATATATGTGTCTTTGAAGCTTTCCTAAAAGTTCTCATCCACCCTAACTCCGAGAAACTTGTAAATTTAGTAGTTACCAAAAGTCTAAAAGTCCACCCATTTCCGAAACTAATCTTACATTAGACTATTCAGATAAAACAAAGGAAACCACAGCTAAGAACACTTTTAAAAAATAGTTCTCTTTTCCTATTCCAACATCTTGAATATTCAAAAGTAGTCAATTCCTCATCATTTATCACTTTCTATTACCAAATATTATATATGCACATGTGCGTGTTGAACCTAGAACCACATCGAGCTAACATCTAGAAACAGTGATACTCTGTTTATATAATAAATGTTAATGATTTAGTTATTCAAAGATAACTTTTTGTCTTGGTTACTCTTATATTAAATAAAACACTATACATATTAAATATATAAGGTATTTGTTAACATAATTATATCATACAAATAAAATTATTAATATACATTTTTATTTCCACATTTTAAAGGTTTGTTTAGCCTAAGTTTCTTTACACCTGAAGTAAAATGTAAGAATTGTGAAATCTAAAACTTACACATCTGTGAAGGCAATCACGGTTTATATTTTACTAATAACTGGAATCAAGGCATAAAGCTGAATTATGAGTGAAAACTTCAGTATACATGGTAGTCAAGTTAAATATGTCTCACTTAAAATATGCAAGTTAAGTCATAAGTCACAAGAATAAAGTCTTTCAAATAAACCAAAAAAAAAAAGACAAGATTTTTTAATACTTTTGGTATATGAAAAAAATATTTTCCATTCTTTTCTGTGGAAAGGAAATCAGGATTATTTTATTAAAGTTCTTATAAGTAGTCACAAGAATAAAGTCTTTCAAATAAACCAAAAAAAAAAAAGACAAGATTTTTTAATACTTTTGGTATATGAAAAAAATATTTTCCATTCTTTTCTGTGGAAAGGAAATCAGGATTATTTTATTAAAGTTCTTATAAGTATTATCAATGAGTTTACCGAGTATTGATAAAAGGCAAATGACACGACTCTTGGACAATTGTCTGAAAGATGATTAAAAACTACTAAAAATCAGAGATGGGCCTGTTTACTAATCTTAGTCATTACTTAACATGATATGAAAGAAGCCAATAATGCAACATACCTGGTGAACCTGAATTTCCACTTTAAGAGCTTCCTGTAGAGTCTGCAACTCCATCCTCTACCTTCTCCACTTTCTCTTATATCTGCTAATTCTATAGTTTCTTCAGCCTCCGTTTAAAATAACAAACTCCTCTTCTCACTGCAGCTGTAGAGATCATACAATGTTTTGGATCATTACGTTAGGCATAAAGGAAATAGTCATGTTAAATAAAATAAAGCAGTTGAAAAATATTTGATTCTCTAACACAGGGCAAGAAATTTCCCCAAAAGATTTCTTTCCAAAATCAACAGTTTTGTACTAAATTGGTCCCCAAACTTTCTGGATTTTATTCTTTGAGCATTCTTCTAGAGAACGCTTCAAATAAGTAAGAAATGAAAAAAAAATGTGTTTAAATCTGGTCATAGAAACATCTAAGCACCTACTACGTGCTCAGCACCACATTACATACTACATTCTGAGGATACACAGCTAAACAAGACCCCTTCTGCCCTAGATGAGTTGGAAGTCTAAGAGAGGAGGAGACCTACAACCATCCAGGACACACTGTCCTTCGAAAGAGACACATAACAACAGGGTCATACATTTTTAAACAACACACGGAGTGAACTGGAAAGTTCAGGGTCTCCCAGAGGTTAAAGAAGGCCAAAGCAGTTTCATTTGGCTGGACTCTCATTCTATTTAAAAAAATTTTTTAAACTGAAAACAGGAAAATCTGGTGTAAGTTAAAGGTTTACATTTAACAAATTAATACTTAACACAAATATAAGGCAATGTAACTGCGTTCTCCACAAAGTTATGACAGGGATATTAAAAAATAAATCTACTGTGTACAACTGATGAGACAGTCTAGCAACAGCACCGACATTTCCAGCTTTACAATGAATACCATCTTCTTTCCAAGGCTGTCAGTGCATCTCTTTGGCTGTGTGTATAACTAACTGCATGTGGAGGTAATGTCAAAAGCCTAGATTTGTGAATGTGAACCTTCCTATTCTGCTCCACTCATCACTACTGCAATTTAAATTAACTCAATGGCTAATTTCTCTTTTAATTTTTTCTTTTTTGAATATAGCCTTAGACATGATTTTAGGTACTCTCCCTAAGGAAAGTTTGCTTCTGCCTAAATAATTTAAACTTTACTTCTTTCTTTTTTCTTCTTCCTACCTGTAAAACTCATGGTTAGAGGAACTTCTCAGCATTCTCACAAACCAAGGAAAGGAACAATCAACGAGCTAAAAGAATCGCTGTTCCTTAAACCAATTCAATGAGATTCATTATCTTTATATTTCTAAAAATTATTTATCTATGGATAAAGTCCATATTCAACTTCAGTTATCCTAAAATTTTAAAACATGATGACAGTTATAATGGAATCATTAACTACAAAATACACACTTATGAATATGAGTTTTTATTATATCTGCTTAACCTCACTAGGCTTAAAACATCACTGGCAATCTTTCCCCTAGGGTTTATATACTATGTTCTGTAGTATCAAAATACTCTAACTTAAGAAAACAATAAATTTCAAAAGTGTAATATTCCTTCAAAATCATATTTGTGGAGGCTAGGAAAGATTATTAAACAATGATATTATCAATCAAAAAATTTCATAAAGGTAGTATGTTTAGGGGAAATAATTTGGAAAGGTCGACATATTTTGATGAACAATCCTGAGTTTTTCAGCTACGTATTATCTTAGAAAATCTTTGGAACTATAATAAATAAATAAATATGAGAACCATTAAGTTATTTAGACAAAAGGTTTCGTTGTCATCTAAGTTTACACTATATAAAAACACAAATGTTAAAACTTACACGATTTTAAATACTATTCTCCCTACTCAAATTCTTGACTTATATACTACAGTTCTTCCTGAAAATTGAATTAATTTTAGTTTTTTCAGAAAGTGTCCAAAAATGATCTGTTATGATACTTGTCAAATTAAGAATCATCTTGAAGTTAAAGGAATATTTTCAACAATAGAAAGGCCATATTTTATTTTACTGGTAGTAACATATAACATTATAGTTCAACTCAACTCATATAAACTCTGGAAACAAACAGCATGTTAAAAATATGAGGAACTTTTTTATAAATAACAAAGAGTTAACATAATTTATACAGTTAGAGTGCTCAAAATTAATTTTTTAAATGATGAAAAAGCAATTCACAGAAGAAATAATAATGACCAACAAACATGAGAAACATCCATTTTCAATAGAGTCACATAAGCGTAAACTTTAAGAAGTTTTGTCTATCAAAGTGACAAAGATTTTTAAAAATAATAATACTGTGAGCTGTCTAGTGTGTGGGTCAGGTGTCACATTCAGGATTTCCTACTGGTTACCTCTTGGGGGTAGTAGCACTAAGGGTTATTTACTTCTTTTCAGAATATCAATATTCTCAATTATTTCCACAGAAAATATGTACTTATTTTTAAATAACAAAAAATTAACTGAGGATTGCTAGATAAAGCACCAGAAAATTTTATACTGATGAAACAAAATGTTCAGGAAAAAAGTAAAACCAGGGTTTAACCTGGAGGCTTTAAATGTCAAGGAGTGCCTTGCAGGATAAGAAGCCTGCAACTCAAGTTAATGAGGAGCTGACAGCTTTTACTTCCTTTATCAGATCGTTGTCTACTTATTAGAAATAAACAAAGGCACACGTTTTATTTGGCAAGAACGCTAACTGCCAATTACTCATTTTATTTCAAAACAAAATGTTTAAAAGAATAGTTCAAAAAGGTAGTGACTTGTTATAGAAAAACTTAAAGGATTAGAAGATTTATTGGATATCTTTCTTCAAAAAGGTCTCTTTCCGGATAGCAATTTTAAAAGATTGGTCTCTGCCTAAAGGAACAAATTATATCCATATATTTATAGCTTACAGAACAAAGCAAGCACATGTTGGATCTTTTTTAAAAATATTTTGGGGGTTTAGACAACACATGCAGCCGTCATATAAAGACTGTTTGGGGGCAGTTTATAGCATCATTAAGAAAGTGTTATTCGCTAAATCTGTGAAAAGATGATTTATCACATTTTGACCAATTCTAATAAGTTATAAATAACAAATCAGTTGCTGCAAGGTAAATATAAACAGTCTCACAAAACAGTAATAGACACACTTTATTGAGGTACAATGCCTTTCACTACTCACCAGCTCTAAATACTACCATCAGAGAGGACAACTGCCTAGCACATAATACCAACATTTGTTATCTTCAAAACTATACATGTCAAACCACTGGGACACCTAATGGCCTCTCACTTTCAAATAACAAAAATATCAAAAACATAAACAAATAAAAACCCCACAAACCAAGCAAAAACAATAATCAAATCTCACTTAAAAAGGCAGCTCTGATGTCTAGAAAGAGCACTTGCTGTCCCCCAAGAAAACAAAAAAAATACCTAATTCCACTTACTTGCTGTGTAATCATTCTTAGCCTCAGGGTTTTTAAAATTTGTTTGTTTCCTTATAAATCAGTAAAGCAAACGTGGGAATGTTATCACCTACGTCATAAAATTGTGATGAGGTTTAAATAAGGTAAATACCATACAAAAAGCCCTTTTTAAACTGTAAATTTTTATGCTATTCATAACATACTTTACGCTTTTATTCATACATACAAACTTTTTTTAATAAACTTCTCCACAGAGTATATTGCTAAGACTGTATGTAGGCTTTCCTATTTTCAAATTCATATAGTTAGAAAGAGGCTTCTATTTTTCTAGGTATAGCTCTCCTTAGAGAAATGTGATGTATAGGTCTTTCATTATGATTCTAATAATGTGGTAATGCTATAACTCTGGATTTACTGCTAAGGAACATTGCTCTGTTCCTGAACTGATATAAACCTTTTTCCAATCAAAGCTCAATTCATCAACCAAGTTTCTTTAACTAACAGTAAGTCCATAATACACTATGCCCCTCCCCAGATTGAATGCCCTAAAAATGGTCAGCTTGACATTCTCTATACCATATACTTACTTGGTCTAAGACTCCACTTTTGATCTATATTCTCAGAATAGTGTTTAAAGTAAGTTCAATATTTTTTTAAAATATGAAAAAGTAGAAAGTCTTGACAGATCTATGTATATGTATCCTTGTCACATGCCTAATACTAAAATATCAGGTTTTAATTTGTGCAAAATACTTTTTTCTTGCTATGTATCTAACATGCCAGCAGGTAAAACAATATCTGTAATTTTTAACTAATAGTGCCCAAAATTACCATGTATGCAAAAATTAATAAAATTACTTTAATAATGCTTATTGAAAACTAACACTAACATGAATCAAGAAATGACATTAAAAAACAACATAACGTTTGTTTTCTTATTTTCATGTGGTATTTCTTGGTGACATTCCACAGGTCAACAGAAAATGCTACTGCACGAAGAGCTAGGCAATCCTGATTTTAGAGGCTACTAACTGAATCTGGGAAGGTTACTATGCTCAAATCCTGGTATTACAGCTGCTGATAAAAATCACCTTAGCTAATGAGACTGATGTTTCCGAACCATTAAATTAAACACACACATATAACTAGATTTATGATATATGAATGTCTGATGTGGTTGAGTACAAAATATATATCTTTCCTTTCTCTGTTTTCTTTTTTTAGGGAGGAGGGAGCCAGGTCCTTATTTTAAAAAAAAAAAAAAAAAAGAGGAATACCTACACACAAGTCATACCAATACAATACGAGAGTGTGGTTTTTAGGTCAGGTCAGGGATGCTCCACTACACCCACTCCCTCGTAAGTCTGCTGCAGTGCCTTGCACCTCTCCCTACCACCAGTGTTCATTCTAATGTACAGTTTCTACCTAACTTTCTGGGCCCAAGCCTAGCCAGCAAATACACATTCTTCTACTCGCTACCTTTACAGAAATCAAGCATGTTTACTAAAATCATCCCAACAACAAGAACATTGAAGTAAATTTAAAAATTCACAGAACTTCAAAATGAAGGAGGTTAGAAACTAGTGTATAAGAAAAGCATAGTGACAATGAGGCCGAGATTTTTCGAACTGGTTGCCACATTTACCAGAATACTATTTAATGATAAAAAAAAGAGTCCAGACAAGCCTGCCAGAACCATATACATATTTACTGCACAAAGGTTAACAAAAGAGGTTGTGGTAGTCTTGCATAACCAGGAAGTACTTAACAGAAGTGGAAATCATGGGAGATAGATTTTAGATCAATTTAAGGAAGTGCTAAGGATTAGAGCTATACAAAAAAGGAATGGGTTACCTTATGAGGTAGTGGGCTCCCTGTCATTAGAAGTATTCAAGAATGCTGCATATCATATCCCCCTCTTGGAGATTCACAATGCACATTAGCATATTAAAGGTTCTGAGAAGTCCTGCAGTAAAGAAACCTGTTTAACTTTGTTTAATGCAGCATTTCCCAAATTATTTGACCATAGAACATTTTCCCTCCCCCACCCGGCCTTAGTAATATTTATTCATTTCTGTGGAACACGAGTTCCTCAGAATACATTATAGAAATAATAAGCTACATTTTTTTTAAATGTAGTATTCGGTAGGTACCCAAATAACAATCCATCAGAGATAGAGAAGAAATTGCCACATCCAGTAAAAGGCTAGAAGAGAAGGTCTTTAAGGTCCCAGCTCTAAGACCCCATGATTCTATCACATCTCAGAGTAAAGGGTTATTGGGTCCTGATTATTTTAAAAGGTTCCATGAGAGAAAGGCAAGTATAATAAAAAGGTAATAAATGTAAGGTTAACTAGTTCAAATGCCTCTCTATCATGTTCAAAGCCCCAATCCCTACAAGGTAAGACAGATATCTCAAGAACCGTAAGTTATCAAAAAAAAAAAAGCCTTAACTAAATATCTACTACACACACTAGGTTAATTACTATTTTAGAGAGAGAGAGAGAGAGAGAGAGAGAGAGAGAGAGGTGTAAAAAAAAAAATAGATAGCCTTGCATTAGGGGACTACCCTATTACAGCTATCTTGTTTGAATTTAATTTTTTTTATCACAAAATACACGCTCTCTAAATAAGGTTAATATTTGTTTGATCCTTAGTCACTAGACTGCCTTGTGCAATCTGTGATCTTGAATTAGACATTCAAAGAAACGATTCAACTGTGATGATTTATAAGCTGTTAAAGTAGATATTAAAGTAGATATTAGGAAAAAATGTGTTTGCTTATGTGTTCCACACTGCTACATTTCTCTTTTTATTTTTTCCTCTTTAAGAATTATACAAAACACACACTAAAAATTTAATATCAGACATGAAGCCAATCCAACATTAAATTTAAGAATATAAATGCTTAAGAGCCCCAAATTTCAAAGTCAAGGTTCCCATAGTTACATTAATCTAGCTATTTTCCATATATATTAAAGCCATCAAATTTAACAGTATATTAAGTAATACAAAACACAATGAAAACCTTAACTTTTTAATTTCTTTACTTTTGAATTTTCAGCTCTAACACTGCATTAAGGACATTTTTGGCACAGGGGACCTTTACACTGTAACAGTTATTGAATGCAGGAACATGCAAGTCTAGCAGTATTATTAGAAAGACAGATGCATTTGAGATATGGCTATGTGAAATTAGACAAAAATTCACTTTCATTCAGTACAAACAGCAAAACCTCACTTCTGAGAAGAGAGTTTTGCAAAAAAAAAGAAAAGAAAAAAAATTCACTGAACGTTTGAATTATTATCCAACTAGCATCAAACACACTATGCCAGCCTGGTAAAAGGACTTACCAATTTGGGGAAAACTGACCCTCCTTCAGCTCTCTTGCTCCCTATAACAGAAGAAGGAGGAAAATGGAATTAGGCTACAAACAGATTTATGATATGTCATCAAAAGCTGAACACTGAAAGATTTCTATCTGATTTTAAGGAGAAAAAACCAAAACACAAACATCTGCAAAGCTCTAAAACTCAAACAAAAGAAAGGGATAGGTAATTCTTACAGCAAAGAGAATTCAAGGGAAGTTAAGTCTCTAATTTTCCAGTTTTTTCACTTTTCCACAGTTTTTTTCAAGACAAGGAAAAGTAGTTGAGGGTTTCCCTTTCCTAAGAGACAAACAGAAATGAAATGCACCTCATCTGTAAAACATACACTCTCATTTCCAACAAATGACCTCCACTGTTTGCTGCTTTATATTAACAAATTAAGCTAACACCATTGGCTCTTAGTTTGGTCTACTAAGGCCTTTTTTCAATTTATCTTGAAATGAATTTGTCTTATATAAGGCTTTAAAATCCACAGCATTTTATATCTATAGTCATAATTTTCATTCACATTCTTAAAGTCTCACCACTTTAGACTGTAAACCACATCACACAGAAGTGACTTTCTCTATGCTACATATTTAATCAGTGAATGGAGCCAGAAAGAAAAAAATCAAAGGTTTTGGGATCCCAATCCAATGCTCAATGATGTTTTTATCAATTGTGCTTTCTTAAGGCTAACTAAACTCCATTAAGTTGACTTCAAGGTCAGAAAAGTCAAGTCAGGCTCTACTGTTTATTTTTAACTCTTCCCTGCCCCAAACTTCTCACTTAAAAAAAAAAAAAAATAGGAAACAAAATTTAAACTTTTCCTCTAATATTTTAGTATTAAATTATTTAAACTCCACATACCATGCTCTAAAACTAAAAGTATCTTCCTTATGCTTTAAACATAATACATTTGTTGACTGATATTATGCCAATAGTGTTTTCATTTCAAGGGATATTTCAAAAAATGTCATCCAGATTATAAATTTTTATTTACTTATGTACAGTCATATAAAACATATAGTAAAATAATTTAATACAGCCCAGATTCATAGTTAACATTCATTTCCACGAGAAATTCAATTTGCTGTTTTAGCCTGCCTTTTCTATAGCAGCAGTGTTTTAAAAGTTCTCAAGTCCATATAAATGGTAATTTCAATCACCAAGATTAGAATGACTCCCACCCAAAAAAGTTATCATGCAAAAATCTGTAGAATAATATGGTTATTAAAGAGTGGATTCTCACAAAGGAAAAAAAATTTGTAATTTTGTGGTGATAGATGTTAACTAAACTTACTGTGCTAATCATTTCCTAATACATCATTATCTCCATCCCCCTCCCCTTCCCTCTCTAACTCGTCCTCCTATGTCAAATCATGTTGTACACCTAAAACTAACACAAGTTATTTGTCGATAACATCTAAATTTTAAAAAGTGGATTCTTAACATTATAGATACTACTGTACCACTCAAAACAGTACCATGCATATCATGCTAAGTGAAATAAGTCAGAGAAAGACAAGTATCATGATTTCACTTATATGTAGAATCTGAAGAACAAAATAAACAAACAAACCAGAAACAAACTCATAGATACAGAGAACATTTTGATGGTTGCCTGATGGGAGTGGGGAGTGGGTAAAAAAAGAGAAAAGATTAAGAAGTACAAATTGGTAGTTAAAAATAGTCGTGAGATGTAAAGTATAGCATGAGGAAC